AATTTTTCAATTCCAGTGAATACGTCCTCGATTTTCATGCTCCCCTGATACTTTTTTGAAAATTTTGAATTTTTAAATTTCAGTGAATACCTCCTCCATTTTCATGTTCCCCTAATACTTTTTCGAAAATTTCGAATTTTCAAGTTTCAGTGAATACCTCCTCGATTTTCATGCCCCCCTGATACTTTTTCGAAAATTTTGAATTTTTCAAATTTCACTTAATACCTTCTCCATTTTCATGGTCTCCTGATATTTTTTGGTTACAGGCGCCCTCCCTCTCTTGGGGTGTAGTACTACGATGCCACTGGGGTAACTCAAACCCCCAGATCTGAACCTCTACCTAGTCAATCCTCTTTGATCATGAGAGATCAAACTCCCCGAGTTTCACCGGCAGATGGAGCCAGGATGACGAAAGAACCCAGTGCCTTAATTTATTGAAGCCTCGGAAATGCACGTAAAAAATATTGTACTTTTAAATAATATATGCAAATTAATTTAATTAATTAAAAAATTAGACAATATGAGAATTGTCTATCCGTTATAAAAAAAAAATTTTAATTCATTTTTCACCGATAAATTCTCAAGTTTTTCAAAAATGAATAAAAAAAATACATCAGCGTTTTTGTTTTAAATAGTGATCGCCGACATATCGATAAACCCACAAGATGGCGATCATTACTTCGGAGACGCGCGATTTTTTGTATTTCACCCACGAAGAATTCCAAGATATTGAATTTTTAAATCGCGTCAGGAACTTCTAGCAGGATTCCCCCGAAATTAGATTCACCCATTTTCCCCCAAGAAATTCCCCTCAACATTTTCCCTCTCCCTCTTACAACATAACTCCAATCCAATTCCAATAAATAAAATCTGAAAGCACCCCCATTTTCAGCCCCCTTTAACCCCTTTAAATTCACTCCTCCACCCCCCAGAATTTCCATACGCCGTATTAAAAAAAACCGACAGTTCGACTGGGAAAGCATTCCCCGGTAATCAATTGAGGAATAACAAAAGCCCATGCTCATCTGCTAAAACCTATAAAACCACCCCCACAAACGGCTCGAACGAGCCAAAAAATTAAAAGAATAAAAAAAAAGAAAGAAAAAGAAAAAGTACAACCGCTCACATTACATTGTGCATAGCAAAACGTGGAAAAGTATAAAAAGGGGCGTGAGTTTGGCCGGTTATATCGGCATTCGCGGCCATAACGTACGAGGCATGAACCACTGGCTATACGAATGTACTTTTAAGACCCCCTAACGTATTCCCCACCCGTGAAGAGATGCAATTACTCGAGCGTGAAATCAATTACCTTTCTTCCTACCATCTCACACGGGCCGTTTAACCTTGTCTTATACTACTTGGGTTCCCCACAGTGTCGTTAAACATGAGTGCTTATATCCCATCTTCAGGATCTGTACTCCCCTCCCCCCACCCCCCGACAAACAACAAAATAATCCATTAACTCGCATAACCCACCCCAAAATCTCACCACAATTTCCCCCAAAAAACCCCCCAAAAAAAGTAATCAATCGATTAATAATTAATCAATCATTACCTAAGCTATAGTATACCTAGGGCCGTGGAAACAAGTTGCCATTCCAGTATAAAATAGTAAAAAAAAAATAAAGAGTGAAAAAAGAATAACGGCAATTGAAAAAGATGAAGTAAAAAGTTGAGTCGGGGTGGAGTCCTGGGGGAACTCCTCCTCCTGGGAGAGAACGAGGATGTGGAGGTATTTGAGAATGGTGGAGGGTCTGGAGCTGGTGAGACGTCAACGGGGGAGCCAACCACCACATGGATGATCCCCTTCTCCAACGGACAACTGGGAGGTACTGGAAAACTGGTATCGTCAACCGATTGGTGGTTGTCGAGCTCCCACCGATCATTATCACCGCTCAACTCCACATGAACAACAACCAATCCCCGATGATCTTATGTACCTCCACCACAGTGAAAACTGATGGGAGTTGCTTTCAGCGGGGGTGTGGGGATGTCTGGGCTGGCAGTGCGCCAAAAGCTCCCGAACACGAGAGTTCGACTCGGTAGGAAAAATTACCACCAGCTCCCAGAAGTGCTGCGAATCAAGTGTTTTAAATGTTGATGTGCAACATCCAGAGTGAAATCACAGGAATACTGATAATCCTGTGTGATTAAGTGACAGTGACATTACCCCTAAAAACTCCAATCAACAAATTAAAATTCATCCCCAACCACCGGGAATTATAAATAATCATTGATCAAGTTGTTTAATTAAGAAGGATACACTAGGATAATTAAGGTTTACGTCACTGGAGATTCTGAATGGATATAAGTTGAACGGTTTCAGTGGATCGGAGAATTCTGTTCGGGGATTGATTGGTTTTTAAATAAATAATGCCTCGACCGTCGCGAGATACTTATGGTGACCAGAAACCACCGTATTCTTATATCTCCCTTACGGCCATGGCTATATGGTCATCTAGAGATAAAATGCTGCCACTTGCGGAAATTTATAAATTCATTGCGGATAGATTTCCGTATTATCGGAAAGATACGAGGAGATGGCAGAACTCGTTGCGCCATAATTTGTCATTCAACGATTGCTTTATTAAGGTGAGTTGGAGGGCATTTAATTATTTATATTTATTTATATTTATTTATATTTATTTATTATTTTTACTTTGGGGATATCGATACTGTAGGCTTGAGTTTATCGTGATGGACAGGCATGTGGCGAGGTGCCGACGGCACACGCTAAAGTCTACCTGTATCATTATTTTTTGGATCACCATCTGGTTTACACCTGCCAAATCCAATGATCGGTTTCGCACCTTTCTGTCGTGGAATATAATGTATCAGTCTGTCTTCCGAATTATGGGTAATTATTGCTGGGTACTTTGACGCAGAAAATCGGCGATTGAAAGTCTCTTCACACTGGAAACAATTAGATCGGATAGATTCTGTTAGATTCAGAGAAATCGATAATATATATAATAATATTCTCGAACAAGACATGTCATTGGGTTTAAGGAGAAAAATTCAGGGGAAAGTCGAGCGAATATCCGGTTTTTATGGATTGTCACTATCGAATTATCAAATGTCTCGAAAATCTCAATGGAAATAATTTTATTTTCCGATGAAAAATAATGGAAGCAGATTTTATTGATCATATTAATTCATTCTTTCGAATAATTTGTAATTCGACAGGGTAACGAAAAATCTTGTAGATCAATTGTTCCGCAGTTCTAATAATTTTTTATATTTCATTTTCAAGGTGACATCGATGAACAATCGATTTTCATTCGAATCTACAGTAAAAAAAAATCCCGAGCTGTCAACAATTTTTGAATAATATTTAATTGGCAATAATTTTTTATTGAGTGGATGAAGTCAATGAAATTCTAGACACAAGTTGTCCAGATGAATTATAAAAACAATAAACAAATTTTTTCAATCTCTATTTTGTCCATTCGAAGAGACACTGAATTTTTTTCAAGTCAAATTCGTGACAATTTGTTAATAACATTGTAATAAAAAATTGAGTGAAGGAGATGAAGTAATCGATTAGCCTGAAATAATTGCGAAGTATTCTGCGTAATTTTGACTATTGAAAGAGCGAAGAAATTTATAATTCAGGGAAAAGAGTTATAAATAATTAATGATTGTGGCAGAAATAAATGAATGGAGGAGATGAAGTAATTAATATATTGTTGTCCCTGGGGATTTAAATAGTTTATTCTTCGCACCGAGGAGTTGTAAGAATCAATTGCAAAGTCAATACGTATGTTTCTCTAACCCTGTTCCACCCTATTTTTGCCATTGGGAGAAACACTGAATTTGTAATGACAGCAAAGGCGTGACAAATAGTTAATGACATTGTAGCCAAAGTGGAAGTATACATTGTAAAGAGAGTGGCTTATAGGCGATACGATCGTGCGGGAGTTGCACCTGGTGAAGAGAAGGCCTCTTTTGCCATAACCCACAGAAGTATACTTAATCATAGTGGATAATGGACGCTAGAATTTACTCCCGAGTCCTTGTCTTACATGACAACATGCTCTCCTGTTAAATTGTCTCTCATTAGTTGAAATTAGTTGGATGTGAAACGAGATAATAGGAAATTCTCAACAGATATTATGAAAAATTGAGGGAAAAACTGGCAAATTACGGAAATATGAACTCCGGAAAAAAACAAAACCATTATTGATACCCTCGTTGTCATGATGAAATTTCATTTCGTTTCAAGTTTTTTTTTTATTAAATGACGAGGAATATTTTTGTTTGAATAGTATATTGAGAATTACTTCTAGTTTTTTTGGGGGAATTGGAGAATTTGTGGGCACGTCCAACTGTTGGTGGGAAAGAAATTCAATGGAAAATAAAAAATCAATACGAGTGATAAAATGAAATTGATTAAATTCTAGAGAATTCCCTTTCTCCCAATTAAATTTATCTCAGGTGAAGCGGTTACTGGTATTCACTGGAAAATAATGTTAATTTTAAAATAGAGACTACATCATCATTTGGTCTTAGAAACTTCTTGAAAGTCCAGTCAAAACAATAATTGAATTTTCAATTTCTGGAATTTGAATGAATTTTCAATTAAAAACGTGAAAATGAAAATTGAAAAAAAAAATTAAAATTCTTTATTCCTCCAATTTCGTTCCATTCTTCCAATAATTACTTCTATATTCAAAGGATTAATTGCCTACAACGAAGAATTTCACAGAAATCTCGTCACTTTGTCGCTCTAAAAAATTTGTGCATTTTTCCACTGGAAATGTAATTGTGTCAAGTGTAATTGTCGATCACTGTTGGTAATTTAAATAAAATTCTCTTGCCACAATTAATCGGTTCTGTTAGCACCAGAGAATACTGGAGACTCGACTAGGCAGGGGCTTGCATGATTTAAACGTTGAATATTCAGTGGCAATTGCCGTTTCGCCAGTGACACATGAAAATTATTGCAGTACATGCTCTCAGGGGGGCGATGCGTGGGTGATGCACATCATGTGACGATGTACTCATATTATTAAGAAATGGTCTGATTTATCAACTTCTCGTGAGTCCTTTCTGATAGCAGATTGTCGACTTGTCGACAGATCAAGAACTTTTTATTTTCTCATTGATCGTAATTGTCGCTGGTCACCTTGAGATGTCAACATTCACTTGATTACTGACATCTTGGGGTTTAGAAAAGACATTTTGGTGAATGTACGGAGAAAATAGTTTTATTACTTCCAGGACTTAAAGCCTTTATCCGTGAAATTGTTGTGCGTTTTTACGTGATGCAATGTTGATGATTGAAAAAAATAGGTAATACTCCCAGCAAAAACCAATTGTTATTACCAATTACATTTTGTGGTCAATAACGGATTTATCTGTTTAAACTCTTGGAAGTAACTAATTAGTTTAGTGTTTTTATCATTTGTTCTTAACGAATGCTCAATGAAAAATCAACAATGGGAAGAAAAAAAAATTTTTAATCTAAAAAGCGAATCAATTTATCAGTTGCGCATGCGAAGAGTTTCCACATAAATTCATAAAATTGTTCTTAATCTTCATTTCCGGGTACATAATAATTATGCATTCCGTCGATTACTCAAATCCCAGCACTTGATAACTAATTACTTCAATCATGAGCGACGCATTGCATTATCTATCCAAATTTTTATGAAACTACAGAAAAACATCTCATGAAGTCCCGGAAATTTATTTACTTCGTTCCACAATTTCAATCGGATTAGATAAATTACTTCTTACATTAATTAAATAATGAATTAAATTTACCAATGCTAAACAAATTCACGAAAACTAATGAAAACTAAAGAAAACTAATGAAAAGAGCGGAGATTTATTTATATAAACCCTTTAGACAATAATTTTTTAATTGCGTTATCCCAAGTATATTTACATGACGGACAATTTTCTTCCGAGTCCATCCGATTACGAATAGCGCGGTCGTTTGATAACGAGGGTGAAGCCACCACTAGCCACCACTAGCCACCACTAGCCACCACCAGCCACCACCAATTTCCTGATCATAATTAAAATAAAAAATGTCTCAAACGATTGAATTGCAATTGCAGGTACCAAGGGGTCCTCACCGTCCTGGAAAAGGTGCATACTGGGCCCTCCACCCAGCGGCCCTATCAATGTTCGAAAACGGTTCCCTGCTGAGACGTCGCAAACGCTTCAAGCTCCACAAGCCTGACAAAGAGCTGCTGAAGTCAGAATTACAGGCGCTAGCATCATCAATGCCACCACCGCACTCAGAGCCACCAGGTGTATCAGCCCCAGTGTCAAGTACCACAGGAAGCCTGAACGCAGCAAATCTCCACAGACTCCGTGAGGACCTCCTCCGATGGGAGATGCAGGAGAGGAGAATGATGGTAGCATCAACGGGTGGATCAGGTGGTTTTGGTCTTGAAGCAACAGCGGAAACAGCATCAAGCTACTATCTCCTGTCAGCAGAGGCAAGACAACGCCTGAGTAACGGCCCAATCGCTGATCCAACGGAAGTCGCAAGACCATACGACACATCCCTCCTGCAAAATGGCACCTGGTCCTTCTCAACATTCAATGGTACCTACATGAGTCACCTTCCCGCTTATCTCCAGTCCTCCAGACAATCGCTTCTCACATCAGAAATGCCGGACAATCGAGCAATTTGCACGCGTATTCCACCGATGGAGAGTGGCTCAGCCGTCGGTTCACCACGTGACATCCCCTACGACATCTACAGAGACAGGTTGTACGATGACGAACAATCCCCAACATTACCCTCGAAAATCTATCGACCACCCGACATTGTCTTCGGTTCGAGCTCATCACCGAGATTATCACCGAGTTATGCTGATGGTACTGATGTCGCTGGTATTGATCAGAATACACCAAGAACCTCACCCTCACTCGAGGCAACTGTTTTACCTCTCTCCCATCAAACAAACAGTCACAAAAAAGCCAAAAAACCGTTCACTATTGAGAATATTATTGCACCAGATGATGATGACGATGAGGATAAGGATAGAGTCAAGGAGCATGAGGATATTAGGAATAGTGAGACTGCACTGTTGATACCAAGACCACTCTATGCTGGATACTCTATCACTGCCTCCAGGCCCTATGGAACTGCAACCTGAAAATACAAGGTTTTTTTTCTTCTGTCTTGTGCAGGTCATACGGCTTCACTTCAGGCCGGTACTATTCCTCTTATTCTCATTATCGCAATTTTTCCGCCAAGTTTTAACTTTAGTTTTTGCGCCACCTGAGAGGGACATGTTCAATCAATGCATAATAACCTGACAATTTGATTATTTATTGTCAATTGAAGATGTCAATTGAATTATTAAAAATTCGTGCAGTTGCATTGATAATTAATGATTGTTGTCCTTGGCTGATGATGTCCGACTGATAATGATTGAGTGAAAATTGTTGTAATTTTAAAAGGGAGACGATAAATTGATTGAATTCGGGGAATTATCCGTGTCCTCGAATTAATTCATTCGCTCAAATGATTTTATTAGGAATTCAGATACACTGAGAGAAATATTCAATAAAAATTACGTGTATTTTCCGTAATTCTGGAGCGAAATGTGGTTGTCGGAAATTTTACGGAACTGTCACGTAATTTTTATCTAAAGTCACGGAATTTTTCCGCGGTGTTCCATAATTTTTATCTGAATTATCGGTGAAAAATAACGATACCGTCACTTAAATTTTTCGAATCAACACCGTAATCGGTAAGTGAACTGAAAATTCCGTAATTTTTACTAAATATTTCTCTCCGTGTAATAGATCACTCGATTTACAATCGATTGTCGAAGAAATTATCATTCCAGTGGTGGTTTTATCGAGGAATTGTACCGTTTCTCTTGATGCTAAATATCGAGACTGTGGAAAACTTTTAGCGATCGATGTTTTTTCCCTTCTCTCTTAGTCTCTGAAATGTGGAGGCAGACGGTGGTTTGTTGTATGTCTGCAATGAGTGATGTAGATGGGGGGTGATGATTATCTAGAGATAATAAGAAGGTTTTTCGACTTGTTGGTGTGTTTTGACTTTGAAATAAAAGTTCGAAATGCCGATAAATGAGAGGAGAATATATATAAAATATATATAGATCGGTGCAATGTAGGAAAGCGTAGGTTTGAATAATCTGTATCCCAGTGATAATGCCGTTATTTCAATTGTACTATCGAGTCTGTTTCGACGAATGTATTTTTATTATCAACTCTTCTCCGTAATCGGACGACTTCGTATGTGCGATATACCCAAAATATTATTCTGCATTTCGTATGGATGATTTCGGGTGCAAGTGACTTGTGGAGACAGAAAAAGTATTTGTAAATGTACTAGGATTATACGTGAATTAATAAATTATTGTAAATATATATACAAATATGAAACTGGCATTTGTTATTTGTGGAACGGTAGATTTTATTAAAAACGGTATAGAATGGGAAATTTGAGATCAAATTGAAATTTTGGAAATTGGAATTGCAATTTTTTTTAATCTTACGTAAAATTGTTTTATTTAACCGTCAACCAGCAGCAATATTTATTAAACTAGAGGAAATTCTAACATTTTTACGAATATTATCTAATATTTTTAATTACTCATTCATTCATTTTTTTAATGAAAATTTTGGGACTCGAGTCGATTGGTTATTAAGCTATCGAGATGTATTTTGTCGACTGCTCCTCTCGATTTAATCTCTAAACTCGTTCTTTATTTCAGTTCCATTTTTCTCCAGCACGTTCAGTCTCATCCTTAATCAGAGGAGAGGCAAAATTCAAGGAGGGACTCCGAGACTGCATTATTCTTCTTTCCTCTCATCCGCATTCTCTCTCCTGATCCCTCGATTTTCGGCTAGTGCTCTTCCCACGTTTAAAAGGCACAACATTTGGTGAGGGTATGGGGGCCTTTGATGGAGCACCGGCTTTTGAAATTTAAACAAATCATCATTAGTCCGAGCGCATATAATTTGTTTGTTTGTAGGCGAAAGCGTCTTCCGTATATTCTCAGAATAAAATGTACAACGCACGTTTTCTTCTGCCCTATTCTCTCCTTTTTCAATATCAAAAATTTAAATTGAATTTCTAGTAAAAAACGTCAATTTTTCGAAAACGATAAAATGAGGGGAAATATCTCTAGAACTTGTCATTGATGAATCATTTAAATGAAAATGCTGATAATTCAATTATATTTATTGTACTACCTTAAAGTGCACCATGAACATGAGAATTCAAGTCTTTAATGAGTAATTAATTATAATTTAAAATGGAGATCCCAATTTCCTTAAATATTCATTATAAATCAGAGATTCATTATCTATTTTTAGAGGAAATCAAAGCAATTCGAAGACATATAATTGAAAATTGAGATGGAACTTTAACCAGTGAACTGCCCTTTAAAATGATTCCTCTCTCAGATTGGAAAATCTATTCAATTAATTGTTATTGACGTGAGGACTAGAATTTATTGAATATAATAACATTTTCATTATGTTTCTGACACTCGACAAAGTGCCGATGACGTAACAATGTAATAATCGAGTTGAGTATTCAATAGATTTATTCCCTCGGTTTGTATCATCATTTGGGCAGGACTTATTTGTAATTTCACAGTGATGATATTGAGTTATTTTGTGAGGCGTAATGATTATTTAGGTGTAGCAATGATAAATGTTTCTGTAATGATCGGAAATGAGGAATGAAAAGGTGGATAGCGTTTGATGAAACACTTGGGTTTCATTCAGGATATTTTGAATGGCTCAAATCAATAGGCACATTAGTTATTCCGTAAATAAAAAAGAGAATTACTGATCGTGTTATGCTATCCCCTGACGTCTGCGCGTATATTCATTCGTCACGCGATTACCCAACTAACCAACTGGGGATCACGAAGATACACGCAATTAACGTCCTACGGGTAGGTCAACGATGTCTGAGCCATTTTCGGTGGATTTTATTTTTTCTCTTTCGAGACGTTAATTACAGGGTAGAACAAACGAAGTTTAATGATTAGAGGTGATTCTTGCTCGGTGAAAAATATTCACAGAATATTGTGACAGATCTGTTAACGCGGGGCAAAGTGTCATTTTTTTAATAATTCGGAAGTAATTGGAAGGAAACATTACGGACTGGAGAAAAAATTCGGGTTAGTTTAGTTTCGAATTTTCAAATTTCAGTGAGTCCCTGATACTTTTTTAAAAATTTTGAATTTTCATATTCTAGTGAATACCTCCTTGATTTTTATGCTCCCCTGATACTTTTTTGAAAATTTTGAATTTTTCAATTTTAGTGAATATCTGCTCGATTTTCATTTTCCCCTGATTTTTTTTTCGGAAATTTTGAATTTTCAAATTTCAGCGAATACCTCCTCGATTTTCATGTTCCCCTGATACTTTTTGAAAATTTCGAATTTTTCAATTCCAGTGAATACCTCCTCCATTCTCATGCTCCCCTGATACTTTTTCAAAAATGTGGAATTTTCAAATTTCAGTGAATACCTCCTCCATTTTCATGCACCCCTGATACTTTCTCAGAAAATTTCGAATTTTCAAACTTCAGTGAATACCTCCTCGATTTTTTTTTAAACTCCGAATTTTCAAATTTCAGCGAATACCTCCTCGATTTTCATGTCCCCCTGATACTTTTTCAAAAATTTCGAATTTTCAAATTTCAGTGACTACCTCCTCGATTTTCATCCTCCCCTGATACTTTTTCAAAAATTCCGACTTTTCAAATTTCAGCGAATACCTCTTCGATTTTCAGGGTTAGTTTAGTTTTTTATTTTACGAAACTAGACGTTGAAATTAGACCTCACGTTTACGGAAGGTGAACGGTAATGTCATTTGTCCATTTATTTTTATGTGTAAATCCTAACAAACAATCGTTAATCCATTTTTAAATATAGTTCAATTTTTTTTAGATGCAACTGTAGATCCTTTGGCGGGTGTTTATTGAATGCAGGGTAGGATGGAAAAGGGGGAAAATAATTAACTCAATGTGACATGCGATAATAATTGAACAATAGCGTCTTCAATTCACTCCCATCAGTTTTTTAATTCTTTTGGGGGGTGAGGAGTAAATCTCCAACCGTGAAAGTGACTGGCCAGTCACACCAATCGGTGGTGAGCTCTTGGTTTTTATTCCATCACTATAAAAGGCACGTGATGGGTGCAAACTCGAAGACAGAAAGGAATTAGTTGAGTCATCGTGGGTTAGTTTTGGTCATTCAAGAGGTACAAGTCGGATGTTCCGGAGTTTTTGTACCCGAAGAAATCATCTTATAAACAAACTGACCGGAAATATCATCAAGTGGTGAATCATTCGACTAATATAAAGTGGTGCATCCAGAGCTCAATGATCCAGGTCTATTAAATATCGTTCGATCTCAAAATCTATTGATTTTACGTAAAAATTTGAAAAGGCACTTTTTCGGGGGAATTTAGTTAGCTACAAAAAATGTCTTTTCGAATTTCCGCCTTGGGTCGATAGTTTTCGAGATACATCGATGATTGCACGGCGAGAAATATTCAATAACGGAACTGGCAATCGCTCGCCGATTACGGAAGCGACTCAGAAAATTTAAGTGGCGGTTATCTCTCACTGGAAATTCGTACAATAATTACGGAATGCTCTGAATTCTTCACTAATCAATCAATTAATTCCTGGGATATTTAAACTCTTCAACATTACAATTCCAATTTTCATGAATTTTCACAAACAAAAAAAATGAGCGATCGTTTTCAATTAGAATTGTCCATAAATTTTTACAAATCTTTCCATTTGAGTTTGGCGCTCTCCATCTACTTTAAAACCGCAATTAATAATTTTCCTCAGTACATACTGAAAATGAAAAATATTAAATAAATTTTGTATTCAAATTTGAGTTTTGATAGTCTCCAATTAACAACTTGAAAATAAAAAAAATTCGACATTGAGATAAATTGTAAAATTGCTAGCCGTGTATTTCCCGCGTTCAATACATTATTTCCGTCGACTAAAAGGATCGATAAAGAAAACAATAACATATCCCAACAACCTCCCGCACTTTTCAAAACAATCCCGCAATTGAAATGACAGTTTTCACTCATCAAATATCCTCGGTACATATAATTTAACATTCGACCATTGTCAAATCGATAACCACATTGAACGTTTATACATGCCTATAAGCTTTATACATAATCCACACTGAGATGTCTTATTACGTGATCCTGACATCGGGAACTCGAGTGAAATCGATCATTTCCCCCAGTTTTCCGATACGAATAGACCGGTACATAGAAAATTCATAATAACAAGACAATGGATAAAGAGAAAACATAAAAATGAATACTAAAGGGTAACAAGGATTAATGTTTGATGAAACAAGGGAGAGGTGAATGATATTCAAGCTGTCCATCGATGTACAATGGTATATACTACTGATATAGCATGTACTGGGGGATGTACTGGGGGATGTACCGATGGCATGTACCGATGGCAAATTGGTACCCGAGATCCGATTATTCATGCGGCATTACGTCCCAGCCTTTCTGTCCCGACTATATACACCGACAAATGTATATAGTCCCGGGTATATAGAGGCGGTGAAGAAGAGCGGTGTCTTAACAAGGCAAAGTAACTCGGGTTGCTCTCGGTGCCTCGGGGAAGGCTATCCTGGACACAATCATCTCGGAAGAGATGAAGAGCAACAACCAAGTGCGACCAACCAATGTCAAGCCTTTTTACACTCAAACTTAACATTATTTTTTACCGGTA